ATTGCTTAAAAATATTTTGCAAGATATTGCTTAGTTGTCTGCATAAATACTATTGTCAGCTTTCTAAAGATAGCACAGTTATATATATATATACTAAAGCATGTAATATTGGTAAAAATTAACAAAAAGATTTTGATGTTAAACTTATGATCAATAAACGTTATTTTATACAGAGAAGAACCTATATATTTAATTCAACCTCTGCCTACTTTTATTTGTCATATTTTTAGTATTTTATGCGTTATTTCTCTTATTATAATAAAACATTGCAGTCATTATTTTTCAATTAAAAATTAGCAGAAAGATTTGTTAAAGAAGAGTCAATTTTACTAATGAAAAACACCAAAAGTTGAGAATCTAATACAGATCTTGTATTGTTAAAAATAATTTTTATAAGAACTTGCCAAAAGAAATTACATATTCATTAAGGAAATATCAATTGAAAGAATTCCAAAAAAGACAAAAACCAAATAAATATTCCTAGTAAAAGGTATTTCTCCTTTTAATTTTAATTATAATAAATACAAAATTGACTTCTTTTTTCAATGGAAAGTTTTAGGCAATTTTAGCAACATTAACAAGTTTATTTTCAGTAGCAAGTTGATATTTAGCTATCTGAAAACCTATTTCAGTATTCTAAGCAGGCTATCAGTTAACAAAAAATCCAGCACAAAATAATGTAAGAACTCGAAGAAAACGTAACTATAATTAAATTATTTTAATAAAATAAAGCGTTTAGAGCCGTAAAAAAACTGGCCTCTTAATTTTTTACGGAAAATGCAACAACTCAGTCCGTGTAATTTAAGTAAGCCATGATGGAAGTCATAACGGACCTATCAAGCTAATTGTGCAAATGATTCAATGCATTTGGGATAATATTTCTCCCGAGCCTACAGATATAACGAAATTTGAGTGGCCGTAAGAGAACCATCTTAGTCAGGCAACACTCTTTCTGAAATTGGCTAGTAAGTGCCTTGAAAAGAATATCTTTCCAAGGGTCGATTATCAATAATTGATTAAATTGACAGTTCATTATCTTCGAGGTGACTTTCATCATCGTGCAAGATTTATACACAAAAAGCTGTACATTTTGAAATTTTTCAAGATGTACAGCTCATTAAAAAGAACGGCCAATTTAATTGCTCTGTTTCACGCAAAGGCTTTTTTATAAAGTCACATCTCAGTTATTGCACCGAAAACTGATTGTCAGTACATTGCCGATATGCAGTAATTGCTTCTGATGCAGCCATTCAATCTTGCAACAGACACCTTTGGTATTTAACTGAAGAGTTAGTTATCTTCGCAATGTTTAATGAAAACATTTTGCCTATTGAATGATCTGCTATGGCATTGAAGTTGTACGACACCCAAAGAAGTGAACAAATGAAGCCTGGAAAACCGTCTTTCCCGAAAGTTGATGGCAACAATATCCCTTCCTTTGTCCACGTTCAATTGATCCACGTTCCAGCTACTATTTAACTTAATAAAGATGACTGCAAATTAGAATTAGAAATGCAAATTAGATTTAATGCAATTGCCTTTCGAACACTGAATGAATATAAAAGATTACAACTATGTAAAAAATATTGTTAAGTACTGCCAAGTTGTGAATGACTGAACCGAGAGAGGTGTAAAATGTATGAATGACTTTAAAAATAAAGTCAAAGACCCCGCGCAGCTTTAACTACTACTTCAAATATTGGAGAACCATTGCAAACGAGCTTCTCTTCAAGGACAAAAAGAAGATTTAATGAATATTTGATTTTTTTTTTTTAAATAGTGTTAATTGTATCAATCTTACATTAACATAAGTTAAAATGATTAAAACCACTTGATTATTTAAATTTGAAGACCGTAAATTAATTTTTTTTAAGTTGAATTTTTTTATACAATATAAATGAGTAAATAATACTTTATGAAAAGTTGAAATTGTTTAGGAATATGTTTGTAAACATTTTAAGCAAAAATACTCAAAAAAAACTGTAAAAAAAAGGAGTTTGTCAAATTTTTTTGAGTAGTAGACCCTTAAATTTTAAAATTTTTTAAAAATACTTGGTTAATATTATTGTTTTCTTAGTCTTAACCTCAATTTAAAATTTGGCGTGGTAGTTTGAAAATTTTTCCAGAATGGGACACCCTACGCGAGCATGTATTAAAAATTTTAATAGATAAAAAAAATGTTTGTCGTTAGGAATTTATTGAGATTTTAGCCTTTTACGAGTTTCCTTGCAACAACGTAACTTTGTTATTTTATTTTTATTCTCTTTGACTTACTTAATATGTCAAGGAACTGCAACTTTATGAAATATTATACAGCTATAAATATTCTTGAGGAAAAAACAAAAGCTGCAAAAGCAGATGGTTAACTTTAAAAGAGATTAAATGAAGAGTTAGGTTAGTAAACTGCTGTTGTGTTAGCTGAAATGTTGAAGGTTTCAGGCAATTTAAATGGTGTTTAAATTCAAATGTTGAAGGGGATTCAATGGGTATTAAATCTTTGCAGTTTATTTGTTTATGATAGTTAAATTGCAAATGATTAGAACTGAAAAACTAAATGGAAAAAGTTATAATGGAGACCCACTAAAATGGGTTTCATATTGAATAATAAAATTATTTGACCAGATAATAAAGATTTTAGAAATATCTGTATTTGTCATCAAAATTTGTTTATCTTAATGTTGTATTAGTTTTTACTCTTAGCAACGGCCTTTGTAACCATGTTATAGAATTATAACACCTCTATTGCAAATTATTTCTGGTGCAGTTCATTCCCAACTTGTTTTCAAGTATTCCTTATGCACTTAGCATAACTGAAAAAAATATATTTTTAGGAATTAAGTAAAGACTCATTGCTAGAGAAATGCCTCCATAGCCAAACGCAAAATGTATATGAGTGTTCAAATGCAATTGTTTGGACCAGTGGCGTACCAACATGTTTTGGGGCCTAGGGCGGCACTTGGTAAATGGGGCCTATATATATACATATATATATATATATATATATATATATATATATATATATATATATATATATATATATATATATATATATATATATATATATATATATATACATATACATATATATATATATATATATATATATATATATATATATATATATATATATATATATATATATATATATATATATATATATATATATATATATATATATATATATATATATATATATATATATATATATATATATATATATATATATATATATATATATATATATATATATATATATATATATATATATATATATGTATATGTATATATATATATATATATATATATATATATATATATATATATATATATATATATATATATATATATATATATATATATATATATATATATATATATATATATGTATATGTATATATACATATATATATATATATATATATATATATATATATATATATATATATATATATATATATATATATATATATATATATATATATATATATAGGCCCCATTTACCAAGTGCCGCCCTAGGCCCCAATATATATATATTATATATATATATATATATATATATATATATATATACAGACTACATTAATGAATGTATGTATAACACATTATCTTTCTCCACTTTCTTGAAAACGTTTGTAATAAACGAAAATTAGCAAATACCATCTTTATCATTATCTATCAGTTTATATGTTTATATATATATCCATTAACGCCATTATATCATTTATAGAAATTCATTTATGTACACAATTGACTAAAACATTAGTTTTTATTATTTATTTTAAATGATAATACAATGATGTACAATGTACAGTAAAAAAAACAAATTTACAGCAAAGAGTTACCTCTAGAAACACATTAAAATGCTTTCTTGCGAGCCTTGACTTCTGCAAATCGTTTGATTAACTCATTAAAATTCACATGTTTTGCAATTTTGTTTTCTACTGATATTATGGCCAAGCTCGTCAAACGAGACTGGCTCATTGCAGAGCGAAGAGTTTTTAATTAATTTCAATTTTGAAAAACTCCTCTCACAAGAAGCCACGGACACACATATAATTAGAAACAGTTTAAGAGCTTCAGTCACGTTTGGTAACGATTCACGGATTTCCATTTCGATGATAAACTGAAGCATTTTCAAGGATGTCCATGCAGCTGCAATGTCTAATTTGATGCCAGAAGCCTTCAGATGCCTTCTCAGCTTCTTTACTTCAGGCAGCATTTTTTCCTCCTCTACATCATTGAAAGTTTCTGAAAACTGATGGGCATAGGTTACAATTTCTTCATCAGTTGCCTTTAAAAGGTTACCTGTGTGTAATACAGCAAACTTTTCATACATAGTGCTCATCGAGGTCAAACGTTTTTCTAATTCTACATGAAAGTGGTCAATGCACTCGAACATAGCACGCTTCAATTCTTCCTGTGGAGTTAAACCTGCATCTTTTTCAATTTCTCCTGGCATCACCTTTTTCACTCGCTTGCGTTTTCTGCTTTCAATATCAATGCCCATTTCAGCACAAGTCTGGGTCGCATATTCTATCGCATTATGGACCAGAACTTCTCAACTTTTCAGCTTCACAACACACTTTTCCAAGCTAATACCTTCGATTTGAAGATATTTTTGGGCATGATTCACCTCGAGTAGAATGTGGTACCACAAATGCAAGAAGCAAAGGAAATTGAAATTACAAATGTTTGTCATCAACACCTCCACTGCTCCTCTCGTATCTAGGTTTTCAGAAGCATCACAAAGCTTTTCCACAGCCTTAACCAACTTTTCGAAATGTTTGAAGATTGGTTTCACGGCATCGTGATGAGCACTCCACCTGGTATCATTAAGTCTCTTCACTGTCACTCCAACGGTTTCTTTTAGGACCTCCCACCTATGTGTTGAACATGAAAAAAACGTGACACAAACAGAAACACTACCAAAAGCATGTACGCCACACAAATTAAGCGAATGGTTAGCACAAGGCACAAATATTGCCTTTGGATTAAATTCTTTAATTCTGGTTTACTCCTGTATGAATGCCAGACATTGTCGTGGCATTATCGTATCCTTGGCTTCGACAAAGCTTTAAATCCAAGCCGTCCTTTTCAAGAGATTGAACAATTTCCTGTGTTATAGAGTCTGCCTTTTTCCCACTTAGAGGAATAAAACCTAGAAATGATTCTTTCACTTCCACGTTCCTGTTATCAATTTTTGCATACCTTATGACCTGACTCATTTGTTCAGTGTGGAATATATCTGGCGTGCTGTCAAGCAATATGCCATAGAATTTAGCTTTCTTGATTTCACAGATTGATTCTTGTTTTACAGCATCGCCTAAAAGAGATATAAACTCATTTTGCACTGACGGCGATAAATAAGAAACTGTAATCAATCCTGATTCCAATAATTGCTGAAGCCGTATGCTGTGCTCCTTTAAAACATGGTCATAGTTTGAAAGGAGACTGACAAGTTCCAAGAAATTACCACGGTTCCAAGAAGTTACCAAAGTCTTCCCTGTGGCCTCAAAAAGGCAAATTCTGCTTTGCCAAAAAAAGTGTCATATCTAAAAGACGATCCAAAATGTCTCTCCATTTCTTCTTCTCTCTTTCCATTACGTCTTTGTTGAGCAGCGTCGATGGTTGTTTTGGAGAAGCCTTGCTTCAAGTGTTTTCCATTTTTCTAAATTGTTAATATGCAATTCAGAGTTTTCGTGATTTTAGGATTCAATTTCCACCAACTATTGAATCCTGTGATGAAACTTGATTTGGTCGTTGGATTATCGTTCTTATCAAACAACTTGCAACGAAAGCAAAACAGTGATTTTTTTTTCATGAGAATAGACCATCCATTTCCTCAAAATCTGTTCTCCACTTGGAAGCTTCTTGTAAAACCAGCTTTTTGTTAGCTGCTTAGTTTGACCCTTTGAATTTTCTCCTGGTTTATGAACTGGATCAAATGGCCCCTCCAAGTTCTGGTAAATTTCACTGCCTTGTCTTATAACATCGGTTCTAAGATAATCTAGCATTGGAGTGGGCCAGTTTCCAACATCATAATTTAATGTTAAATCTTCTGATTCGTGTACTGAGTTTGCGTCTAATTCAGAACGTATCAAAATGATTATGTCTTCTTCTTCTTGCCTTTTGTATTGTTCTTCTTCTCTTTTTTCTTGTTCTTCATTGCTTGTTTGTTCATTCCGTTGGCCATAGCTTGTACATGGGCCTTCTAAAGATTCAGGGCCCTCCTTCGTTGTTTGCCTGGGACAGTGCCCTTTTAGTAAATTTAAGTATTGAACCCGACAACCGTTGTAGTTGTTGTTCTTTAGCTTTTTTTTTTTCATCTTTTCCCATCCACTGGGATAGTTTCGTTTCATGTTATCAACAGGCAAATTTTTTTTTGTTTTTTTTTGTTTTAATTTTTCATTTGTTGGTCGTATTACAACTATATATTGGAAAAAAAAATAATAATGAAAATAATAATAAACATTCACAAATATAAAATAAGGTATCTAAAAGAAGATCAAAGGACCTTGTCGTCAGAACCTTAAATAAGTTCAAACAAGCATTAACAGTATCAAATTTTTACAAATTTCATATATATATAATCCAAATATATATTATATAATCCAAAGAGAGATCACGCGGATCTACTCACCAATATTTTATATAAACGTATACGTTAAGTAAAGAATATAAAATCAACAAAATAAGTAAGAATAAACTTTTTACAAATGTAAATAAGAATAGGCAAAGTTATTAATTCATATTATTAATAATAACATAATACGTCATCTAATGAAAAAATTAGGGTTTTTAATTTACTTTAAAAAAAACGAAAAGTAATGGGTAGTTCGAAGGGTAGTTCAATAAAATTTTTAGGTAAGTTTAATGGCAAATACCGTTTTTTGGAAAGCGAATGGAATAAGGTCCACTTTGTTTTATTAAAATTTAGAGTTAACTTATTACATTTAAACCAACTCGATACATGTATAAGCTCTTTGTTTATTGTTTTAAAAAGTTCAAAGATATTACTGTTAGAAAGGAATAAGTTAGTATCATCTGCAAACATAATACTTGTTAGTTTAGAGGCTTTATTTAAATCATAAATTAGGAAAAAAAGTGGACAAAGAATTGAGCCTCGTGGGACTCCACATGTTATAGAAAGACGATTGGTATGATAACCGTCATTACTCGGAACAAATTGTTTACGATTTGACAAATAGCTTTCAAACCATTTTAAAACTTTATTTTTTATTCCATAGTGTTTAAGTTTATAGATTAGAATTTGGTGATCAACCGTATCAAAAGCTTTTGATAGATCAATAAAAAGTCCTAGAGTATATTGTGATTTTTCAAATGATTTTGAGATTTCACGTACAAATTGGATAATTGCATGTTCAGTTGAGCTATCCTTTTTAAAACCGAATTGATTAATGTAAAGTAATTTATTAACATGAAACTATTTGTATACTCTGTTATATATAATTCTTTCTAAAATTTTTGAAAATATGGAAAGAACAGAAATAGGGCCGTAGTTACTAATAATTGATTTGTCCCCTTCTTTGAAAATAGGAATAACTTTGGCAATTTTTAACAGTTCGGGGAAAACACCTTGGTGGATAGAAGCTTTAAAAACTTTAAAAAGAACAACTTTTAGCTGTTCAAAACAATCTATAATAACGTTTCCATTTATTTGATTTTTAGATTTTTGCAAATTTTTTCAAATAGATTTTTGTAGTCCTTGTAAATTTTTTCGTTTTTAGGTGTTTTTGTTTTCAAAAAATTTATATATAGTTTTTGTTTAATTTTAGACGATTTTTTAAAGCCCTTAGTGATAGGTGTATTGCAGCTCTTAGTAGTTATTTTATTTTCAACGATTGGGAAATTAGCATCGTATACAGAAAAAAATGTTTTGAAAAAAGATTCATAGATATTGTTAGCATTATCACTAAAATTTATGTTATTCCAGTGCAGTAATGAAAGTTGATTTTTGAATAAATTAAATGCGTTTTCGAATTACTTTTTGTGCGGTTAAAGTTTTTTTAGAGTTTGTATTATCTAATTTTAGGAATATAGGGAAATGATCTGATATATCGGTTCGCAAAATACCTACTTTTAAATCATTGTTATTATATTATCTATTAGAAATGCTGAATTTACCGTTACTCTTGTAGGTTTGTTTATTAAAGATATTGAACCCGTTTCAAAAATTTCATCATAAAAATTTTTAACTTTAAGGTTATCATTGTAAAGAAAACAATTCATGTTTAAATCTCCAATTATAAAAGTTTGCTTTTTTTCAACGGTACCTTTTTTAATGATTTGTTGTAAAAACATGCTAAGGTTTTCGCTTACGCCATCAGGTGGCCGATAACAACAGCTTAGTAAAAAAAAATTTTTGTTGCAGTTAGTAATTTCTATAGTTGCAATTTCTTTATCGCAGTCAGAAACACATAAATCACGTCTGAAACAACGCTCAAAATGTTCGTGAACATAAATTAAAACTCCACCACCGCGCTTATTTTCCTTTCCATTGAAACTGTATTAAAATGAGGTAGATGAAAATTATTTAGGTCTTCTAAAGAAATCCAAGTTTCCGTCTAAAATTTTTTCAAAATTGCTATTTAGGCTTCTTATATTGAGGTGGAGAATTAACATTTGATTATTATTTCTTTCTTGCTCATTCTTAAAAAGAAACCCTTCTATTTGGCTAGGAAAGTAATATGAACAAATCTGAAAATTTATTGTGATAAATATTGTTATCAGAGTCTAAGTTTTCATTTAACGTAGAGTAATTTGTTTTTTGAAATTTTAAAACACGAGATTCAAAGTTTTCATTTGTAGCCATGATTAATATATTTTATTTAAGATATCTTTTTAGGAATGCCCATAAAATTATTCGTTAAAATTGCTTTTAAAAGAAGTTTTAATATAATACTTTAATTTAATGTCATACCTTACCGTAACACTTTCACCATTCAATCGCCTTTCTTTCACTTCAGTAAACAATTTTTTTCGAATATCTACGGTTTCTCGAGAAAAATCTTCGTTCACGAACGTATTTGTACCTTTGAGTCAATACAATTCCTTCAATATTCTTATTTTGTCTTTATATTTCTGAAGATGTAAAAATATAGTCCTTGGTTGTCCATCGTTTTTTCGTCCAGTGTGGTGAGCTCTCTCAATTTAGCACCTTTTAGTCCAAGTTTTTCGGTGAAGAATGTTTAGACTTTTTTTTTCAGTATCCCCCCATGATTCTTTATCATTCTCGTAGATTCCATCAATCCTAAGATTGTTTCGGCGTGATTGATCTTCTAAGTTTCGTTGTTTTTCTTTTAATACATTATCTATTTTTGTATGTTCCATTTTTTTATCTAGATATTTGTTGTTAGTAATTATTTTTTCGTCGATAAGTCCTTCATTAAAATTAAGGCTTACCTTTATATCTTCTAATTCTTTTGTTAATTTTTTTATACAATTTGCATTTCCATCAATATTTTTCTCTACTTTTTCAAATCTGTCGTTTATTATTTTGATGTTAGCGCCAATAATATCGAGAACTGCTTTTTCTTGCTTTTGAAACATTTCTTCCGTTTCCTTTTTAAATTCTTTGAACATTTCTTTTAAAAGTTTCTTTATTTCTGGAAGTGTTACAGCCATATTATTAAGTTAAAATTTTTTATTAAAGATACGTCTTTATTTATAATAAATAAAAAGTTTTTTTTTTTTTTTTTTTTTTCGCCTCGAGGTAAAAAGTGCGTCCGTTCTTGTTGAAAGCTTGAGTTACGTCAAAGTTAGGTAATTCTTGCTGAAAGCTTTAGTTACAATAAAGTTAGGTAGTTCTTAAGGTGTGTATAATAACGTTTTTCATTGGAATTATTTTTTGTTATTATTCGTGGTTTTACTTTAGTGACAGGTTGGCAGAGATTGGCTGTCTCCACGGAAGTTGTTTGTTCTAGAATTTCTTTATAGGAATTGTTTGATAGCCTATTATTGCTAATGCTTTAACGAGTATTTTCAGAGCAGCTGTTCAAAGGAGGAATTTAGATGTTCTCATTGTATATTATTGTGCCTCTACTTTAGTTAGTTGTGTGTTTTCTGTTTTGACGTATGTTATATTTAATATATTATTTATTATATATATTATATTTATTATATTTACAACTATTATTGTGTTTATTGTATTTATTATATAAATTATATTAATTTATTAATTATATTAATTATATTTATTATATTTATTACATTTATTATATTCATTATATTTATATTAATTATATTTATTATATTTATTATGACAATTATATTTATTATATTTATTATATTTATTACAATTATTATATTTGTTTTAATTATTATATTTATTATATTTATTAATGTTCACAAATAAGCTAGCTATTCATTGGATTTATGAACCATAAGAATAATATGGGGATTTTAAAAAAATCGATTTTAATTTTAATGTTTTCGGAATCTGGGGCCCCCAAGATGAATGTTATCATGGTCTCGGGCTTAAATTTGTCCATGCCACCTATGGTAATAGCTACTTCCATATGAGAAATTCGCTAGGACGAGCAAACAATATCAAAACTAAATGTTTTCGTACTACTGATAAAAATTATTGTTTACCAAAATGGGCTAGGCCTACTCATTTTTAACGTCAAAATTAGTTATTAAAAACCAAGTAATTAAATTGACAATACAGATAGTGTTTAAGGACAAGCCCCTTATGTGGCTTCAACATAAAACGACGTGTGATATAAAATTATAACTTGATAACTAAAATCTTCTCACGCAGTCTTGTTTGGCCTATATGCAGGAATAAAATTATTACTTACCATGTAACTTGGTGATGACTGAAGACGTGATTTGCTCTCGAATTATTGAGGTACTGAATGATCAAAACAGTCACGGTGGTTGTTATTGGCCAAGATGTCATTTCAATTTCTTACATCTTGGTTTGTTTGCTGTGGATGTTTATTATCTTGGCAAGCAGATATGATCATGTTTCAGGTTCATTTTTGTTGTAAACAATTATGATTACAGAACAAAAATTTTGACTATTACAGAATCCGGCTGAAGTAAAAAAATAAAAATTGTATTAAAATTTGGGGGCCTACTCCCAGGCGGGGTCTGGGCGGACCGCCCCCGCCCCACCTATGGTACGCCACTGGTTTGGGCACGCTGTTCCTAATCTACTTACAAGTGGTGTGTTCTGCCATCGTTTCAATAAAAGTAATAATGTTATTGGAATTGTTTTTGATTGCTTAGAAATTTTATTATATTAGCTTATTAGAAATAAATTATAATAAATGCAATAATTTTGTTTTATTTTTTTTAGATTTTACTTTATTTAGATTTTTTTTGTTACTAA